TACGAGTTAACTCACAGATCTGAGAGGGAAGATTGTGATATGAATGTAAATATCACATCAAACACTGCCTTTCATCATTTGAAGTAATCAGCAATGAGATGTCCTTTCACACACATCAGAGTCACTATAGTAGAACATGTATAGGATGAGGTTATATGCAGTGACATAGCTTTAAAGAAGAAAAAAGAGAGGGGAGGGGGACAAGATAAAGATCTGTGAAAGGAATTACAGAACTCCTAAAAGCTCAGACAGGAAATGACAAGAGCATGTCAGAAAAAGAAAGCAAGAGGAAAGAAAGAAGAGGTAGAGTAGAAAGTGTGAACATGTCATTCTAACCTAATCCAACAGTAACTTCTAACGTAAGCGAACCATCTGCAATTTTGGAGGAACGCAAAAAATAGTACAGTTTGTATTACGAGATTGCAGAAAAAGGATACAAACAGTACACTATCACAAAAATAGGATTATGGTATTCATTGATATCCGGGTCAAGATATGATTCTTTGTGATTATTTTGTGTACAATTTACACTAAATTACATTGATTGTTGGTTTATCTATTTTCCCCCAAATATTCATGAAACAAAAATATTGATAACCGGAATGAGAATGTCAACAATAACATAATATCAAAAAGGTTGTGATCTAAATATAAAACACAGCAATAATTTTAAATATAAATGTTATCACCACCACTAGTCCTAACTCCAGAAATTGAGGCATTTGCTTTCAAAACTGTTACATCTGCAATAGCGATATTGGGGAAATTTAGGCTTTGACACAAAATAGTCAAATATAAATCCATTTGACTTAAGAGAAAATGTAGACCTACATTTATTTAAAGCACCAAAAAAGGGCATCCATATAACCACAACCATAAACTTTTAAGTCAAGGTTTCCTGTGAGTGATAGAACAGGATCTCTGAACCACATCAATGGTAATCAGACTCCTGTGCAGAACAGTGGACACCTGATTCTCTGAGGCACTGGCAGTGCAAAACTACAGGCTACTGATGTCCTGTTGATAAATGCATTTAGGGACTTCTACTTGCAACCCCACTGCTTACAATGGCTCTCAGTCTAACAAGGTGGGGTTTTGATTCCAAGATGGCACCCATTGCAGAACCAGAACAGAGAGCAACAAATTCATGTTAACAGAGAAAGACACAGTGATTATTCATGAATCTTAGGTGAAGCTTATGCTACAGATCATTATTTGATATAAAACCTTCAGGTTCAAAATGAATGCAGTCTGAGTAGGTTCCCAGAATGCACAAAAAAAGGGACACCGCAGCAGAAGAGCGAAGGGGCAAATTACATTATGAAATTTTTTATTATTTTTTTTTAAGAGCAGTTTCCACTTTCCCCCCCCAATTTTTTTTAAAGAGCTCCATTCCAGCCTCCATCACAAGACAAATGCCAGAGCACTCTGCATAAAACTACAGGCGACATGTTGATTATAACAACCTGATATGATCGTCAAAGAGTGTAAAATCTCACCATAAAGTTTATCAATCATCACTGAGGAGACACAGAAATGCAGAGCACCCAGAAAGAGGCACTCATAGTTATAAGCTCTGTTCCCAAAGCCAGTCGTGACAA